TTTTTTTTAAAGCTATATTCTTCTCTCATCTATCTCATTTTTCTTGCTAGTACTCGTCTATCTCATCCTCTCACTAGTGTACGTGTAGTACGGGGGAACACCGACCAACCCGGATCTCTCCCCAGCCCACAGGGTAGGTTGGCACCACAGCAGTGGTGCGAGAGCAAGGCTGTACCAGTCCCTCATCACGGTGACGAGGGGTCGGCAGGCATTGCCGATGGGGGAAATCGGCGGTGCTAGCGCTGAGCAATGGCCAGTCACTGCACCTCCCCCTACCCCCCCCCAAACCCCACATGGCGGTGTCTAATGGCCAATATTGTCGCTGCATAGCAACGAACAACATCAACCAAGGTCCTGCCAATGCTGGCTTGGGGGGCCAACGGGTTATCTCTAGCTGGTAGAACACCAAGCTTGCCCAGGCACGTACGTGAGGCCAATGGGGATTGAACCCACGACCTCCTGAATGCAACTTCTGTGCCTTACCAACTGAGCTAGGCCCGCAGGCCGTCGTCCATCTTTTAGTTTAGCTCAGGGTAGTAGTGTTTTTGCCTAGAGCTTGTTCTGTCTATCAGACTTTGGTTTTGGACATTGATCACGGGCTGGTCCCCTCAGGGCAGTGTTCCCTGTAAGCGAAACTGGGTAATTCCCCCAGCAGTTATTCTTCCGGGTAGACTGTGAGGACCCCGACCTCGAAATATTTTCCCAATAAACGTTTAAAAAAAAAAAAAAAAAAAAACATGCCCTCCCCCTCCCCCTCCCCCTCTCCTCCCCCCCTCCCTTTTTTTTCTGTGTCTCTCCGTTGTTGTGGACGTATGCTTCCATACATGTTTGTCGGTGATAAGAAACCGGACTGATGCCCCCCAGAATAGAAGGGGCTGCTTTTGCTTAAAAACAACAACAACAACAACGCCAACATGATGCCCATGCCCATTGACTCTTTCGGCGCGTGGTCTACCGCAGCGCAAGCTGACGATAGACTGCGACGGTTTTGGCAGAGTGATCAGTGGCTCTTGGGGTTGTGGTAGTGATTGAAAGGAAGCCTATTGTTCCCTTCAATCAGTGTTGTGTGCTCATGTTTGTGGACTGGATTCTGCATGTGATCCACTCTCCAAGAAACCGGAGAGTGCGCAGAGAGCTGTGTGACTCCGAATTCGCCGTCTTGCTGTGCTACTCTCCACTCTCCAAGAAACCGGAGAGTGCGCAGAGAGCTGTGAGACTCCGAATTCGCCGTTTTTGCAAACTACAGGGGAGTCACAAAAATGAGTTATAAGTGCACTATGGGCCAAGATACGGTTTCAAATTGCACTTTGGGCAATGTATACAACCCAGCTTTCTGGCCAGGTAGGGTGCGGTACGGTTTCAAATTGCACTTCGGGTAATGTATACAACCCAGCTTTCTGGCCAGGTAGGGTGCCTGACTTGCAATTGCAAACTGTATATTGCCCCATAGTGCAATTATAACTCCTTTTTGTAACTCTACTGAAGTTACCCCTTTTGTTAATAAAGATTGTTAGTTCGTGGTTATAGTG